TTTAAAAATAAAATCCAGAAATGCATGTAGATTTTCCAATGCTTTTGAAATAGTCTCTCTCCAAAAACATCATCTCTGTTCATGAAGGAGTCTCTGAAAAACAGAAATGGAGCAAGTGATGCGTGTTGGGGTATGAAATTTGGCAGGTTTCCTTGGGCAGGGTGTCACCTCGAGCTCTGGTGTCTGCAGAACCTCCCAGTAGGAACCTTTGTGCTCAGGCTTCTGTCACTTGTACCAGTGAGGGAGTGATGGGGATGAGGCAGGAGTGCTTGAGTGAGGAGTCGGGGCAATTGAATCACTTTGTAGAGAAACACAGAATCACAGAATCGCTTGGTTGGAAAAGACTTTTGAGATCATTGAGTCCAACCAGACCTGTCCACTACTAAACCAGATCTTCGGGCACCTTACAGTTCAAGCTCATGGTATTTTCTTCAATAGAAAAGAACAATAAAGCTCTGTCCTTTCCTGTCAGCACCAAACTCACTGTTTTGTGACTGCACACTTCACAGCTGGTTGCTTGAATTCATTTTACACAAGAGTTTGATTTTTGCATTCTTAATTTGAGGCAGTAATCCAAAAACTGAATTCAGATCAGCAGTTGTTACGTTGTATGCTTACATTTTTTTTTTCCCTTGAAGTTTAATTCACATCCCTTAGTCCTGTAGTTAACGTTTGTATATCTGTTGTATGCAGCAAAAATATAGGTTGACTGCTTATTGAGTCAATGATGGTGTTCAATAAACAGTACTTATCTCCTTGAAGCAACACCCTGCCCTAAATAAGTTTGCCGAGGGAGTTGAGCCAGAAATAACTTGCTTTTTTTTTTTAATAATTGCACTGTAAAATAAATAAATAATTGAGAAATATGTTTAAAATGAAAATGCAGCTTGGTAGTAGTCCAGCTTTTTGAACAGTGTGGTTCATTTTGGTTTGGGTTTTGTGTTTTTTTTGTTGTTTTTTCCACCCGGCCTCCCCCTCAGTCAGTTGTGCAGATTGTAAAACTCCGTGATCACATCTTTCCCCAGGGGTCTGTGCTTCTCCTGGTGTTCCATGTTATCCTGAAAACTGAATATATGCCCTCGCTTTTATTTCCTGTTTGTCACTAAAACTCCAGCAGAGGAATGTAATGATGTTCTTGAGCAACATGTGGTTGTGTTGATCCCTGAACACTTACAGATATGGCTTCATTACGTCCTTGTGAGAAGTAGTAAAATGATGCCATTTTAATACAGTGGGAGGAAGATGTATTACTTAATTACAAAATGACTTAATTTTGCAGCATAAATAGCTTGGGGGGGGGAGGGTCCCTCCTCCATGATGCTATTTTTGTCTAAATCTCATAAGCTTTTTGTTTTCAGAAATAA